AGTGATTGATGGTCTATGTTATTTTTCATCAAATCTTTGTAATTTGACTTCAATAGCATTTGACACTTCTAGAATTACCAATGGATTGTGTCCGTATCTCAGAGTTTTTGCAAGTTAATTGAAGGATTTGATCTAAGTATTTGTAGGAAAATTAGGGCAAGGTAATCAAGTTCAAAAGACAACAATGGTAAAATCAGCGTCAAGAATTTTCAACGGGAAAAACCCAAAAAAGGAAAAAACGACAGGACCTAGTCCAAATAAAAAAACTCCACTATGAAAAATTGCAGACTTATAGAGTTTTCCTCCAGATGGAAAGTATAACAACATCAATCTCACTTCCCTGGATGGAACTGGAGGCATACATAATGAAATCTCAAGATTCTACCTCGTTCTCAAGCTTTTCCAAATAAGTATGACAGTTAAAGGGAGAGAAAACTCCGATTTCAGTCTCTTCAGTTTTTCAGCTATCTTGTACTGCAACTCAGCTTGCAAACCATTAAGAGTCACCCCACAAATTAAGGAGGACTAGAAAATATTCCAGCAAACAAGGCCTGCAGGAAAGGAAATCACTTTTATGAGTAAATCTTTAACCTATCAAAGGAATCTTCTTGGACGATCCAATGCCCAGAACAGATGAACTATTACTTAATAATTGTATTGATGCAAATTGCAGAGAGAAACACTTCTTTAGTTGAGTCTCCTTTTCCAATGAAAATTTTCTTCAAGGCTTGAAAACAAAGCAGAGACAATTTTTTTGCTGATGATCTGAGTAAAGAAATCAATTAGAGCGGAAATAAATACCCAACAAGGTTGTCATGTCAAGCTTGCATGATGAACTCTCATAAGAAGTTTAACCTCTCATTGGAGTTATAGCTTAATGTTCAAGACATGAGAATGAACTTAAAAAGTGTTTTAGAGATAAAATGTTCATACCTCTACAAGAAACTCCTTGTACCCTTGACCGGATGATGAGATAGCATCTCTACGGCTATAGGCTACTTAAGAATCATCATCTAAGTAATCATTAAAGTGTTCCCATGCCCCTCTTCTGATGTCTCTCTCAAAGATATTGGTAATTTTCACAAATTCACATGATGTAAATTTTCCGTTCTTTGACTTCAAAGTAATTGTACCCATCTTGTTCTCTTTTTCAGCATTCAACTTCTTTACATCTGATACAGTCAAGTTCAACGAGAACAGGTGTGCCAAGAAAACTTATTAGTTTATTTTAGAACAAAAATCAGCACTTGAATGACTTAATTGAACATCCAACACTAGTTAATAAACATATGGTCATACCTTGTCATTTATTTATTTGTCTACTCCGTCTAGGGACCAAAATGTAGGTACTTGCAGTTAAGAAGACAAATGTTGTAGCTGATGTTTCCAGTGGAACAACAGACTTGTTTTTCTTCTCCTCTCACATACTTGCATCAATTCAATTGACATTATTATTAGTATTCAAAAACAAACAGAATGACATATGTGTTGAATCCAATATGAATTTCAGATGAAGCAAACCTGAATAAGTTGATATATTCCTTGACCATGAGTTTGGTGGAAGAAAGCCGGAAAGCTTGTTTCCTTCTAAATTTCTTGTAAGGTTTAGAAGAAATATCAAATATGAATTAGTCATTGACTTCACCCCTACTGTTAACTTCACCAAATATGCATAAATAGCTTACAATACCTCAAACAAGGTCAATTGAGCACTTCTCTGGTTATGCCATCCTCTGATAAATCCCTATAACAAACAGCTTAGTCAGTTTAATGTCATTCATTAATCAGTTTCCACCATCAACATCTTCACCGGATTGTTTTGTTGTGAGATAAATATATACTTACAGAAAACTGTAGTCTTTTAAGATAAGATATATAAGGACCCTGTAAATCTGCAAGCACCTCGAGAACCAGTTCCTGCATATTCAATGTAGGTGTTAGTAGTCAGTAACTAAAAACTATGTGAACTTGATACTCATTCTAGTTGGAAGGATCATAACCCTCATGGATGCTATTAAGACCACTCCAGGAGCAATCTTTACGTACACAGTGATCTTGTTGCTGATTTCTCTCCACTACATTTGTTAACTTTCAGTAGATTATTGGATCAACCAAGTCCTTTAGCTGTATATAAATTTTAGTCAAAATCATGTATATTCAGTTCTAGAATTCCAAAAAGAAGTTGAAAAGATAAAGGTTAGAGAACCTGTACCATTTTCACAAAAGCAAGAGCATTGAGAACAAATGGAAAGGGTTGATCTGTTGGTTCTTTCCAGGTAAAAGCCAATGCTTTCTCCACTGAACAGCTATAAATCTGCATTTGGTACTTTACTTACAATAGAGTACTCTGGAACAATGGCACCATACAAAAGTTCTCCATTTCGAGTATTTTTGAATTCTCTATTCTATTTTGTTTGCAGCCCTTTATCCTCAGCAAAGTGTTTGTACAGTAATATTTGACACTGAGATTTGTAGGATCCCAATAACAGCCAAAATATTGCTAGCATGTACTAGTTATCTACTGTGCTCATGACAAGAGGTTCTGACTGGTAACCATTACTATTCCAGCTGTCTAGATAAAAGAATGCTCTTTAAATGTTTCAGTTCCAGCAGTTCCAAGACATCCAGATCTCATCATAAAACATTCAGCAGAGGAGAAACTGCAAAAACACCACAATCACTACCCTTAAATCCAATATCCTTAAATCAAATAACTTTCATGCTTAACAATTTGATTTAGTATGCAGTCTTGATATAAATTATAAATCTACTAAGGACATGATATGGTTACAGAGTAGCAAAAGAAACCTACTCAAATTTCTGGTTTAGGATCAAGGTGCTGACATAATTTGAGCCCCTTGAAATCCTCCCAAGTTTTCCAACACAATAGAGAGAACCGCTGAAGATATAAGGGCTTAGTTTGCCCATCATACATTTGGCACGAAAGCTTGGAGATATTTCAAGCATCCCTGAATCATGAATGCATCAATACAGGCCCTGTTTGTACCACAAGCTATGAGAAAACTAATGTGAAGCCAAAACAAATACTGAATAGCTCACATAACATTATGTACGTGCAAATACACCTATATTTACTTGTTGAATTCATTTTTCATTTCAAAATTTGAAAGAAGATTATGAAAAAAGAATTAAAAAACAAAAATAGACCTTCAAAGTGAAATCTTTCGGTTATCTATAAAACTTGATAGGATTCCACAGTGTGGCCATGGACTCCTCTATTTTCTCTCCAAGCACATTTGATAATTTGATGGGGGCTTTTGTTGTGGAAGGATTATAAATTAATAAGCCCTGTAAATTCAAACAAAACAAATTAAGAGCTATTCAATTGGGAAAAATATTGTAAGAAGGAGATACGTGGAAAAGAATTTGAGCACTCACTAGATTAGCTTTGATAAATTAAATTAAACGTACCTCTTCTTTTCAAAACCTAGATCCTTTAGGGATTGCAGGGTCATCTACCAGATGTGGGTACTCGGAATGAGGGAAATCTTGGGCCATTCAGGGCCCCTCTCTCTAGCGCATCTTTCTTTTAATTTGGGACAATTTCCAATATAAAAAGTTTCTAAGTTGGAGAGACGATGCATCACTTTAACAGAAGGTAGATGCGTCAAATTATCACAATCGTAAATGTTAAGCCACTGAAGAGAAGAGAGGTCTCCCAAACACTCTGGTAAAGCCTCCACTCCATTGAATCGACTTATAGTAAATTGTTGGAGGGCAGTGAGATGTCGAAGCTGATGTGGCAGTGACTTTAGTTTATCCCATCCTTCCAAAGTCAAAGATTTGAGGGAGGAATGGAGGTGATGGGTGGAAGTGAGCCCTGGGTATTCTTCCAACTCAGACCAGAAAGGACCCATCGATAACCTCTTCAAGCACGTGAGCCTACCTAGGCACTCCTCTGGAATGCTCTTCAATTTGTTCCACGAATGAATGCTTAAAGAAGTAAGAGAAGAGAGGTTTCCCAACCACTCTGGTAAAGCTTCCACTCTGGTGAATGAATCTATCTTCAATTCCTTAAGAGCAGTGAGATGTTGAAGCTGATCTGGCAGTGACTTTAGGTTATCCCATCCAACCAATTCCAAATTTTCAAGGGAGGAACGGAGGTGATGGATGGAAGTGAGTCCAGGGAATTCCTCCAACTCCGAGTAGAAAGGACCCATCTTTAATTGCTTCAGGCGAGTGAGCCTACCCAGGCACTCCTCTGGGATTCTATTCAATTTGTTACATGAATCAACCGATAAAGAAACAAGAGAAGAGAGGTCTCCCAACCACTCTGGAAAAGCTTCCACTCCGTTGCAATTGTGTGTTGATAATCGTTTGAGAGCAACTAAATGTTGAAGCTGATGTGGCAAAGACTTTATTTTATCACATCTGTTCAAAGACAAAACTTCAATGGAGATGTTGGGATGAGAGATGGAAAGTCCAGAGAATTCCTCTAGATTGGAGCACCGGTTAATCCACAAGTCCTGGAGAGAAGTGCAGGTATCTAGCCCATTTGGTAGACAAACTAGTTCTGGACAATCATAAATTGATAATGTTTTAAGAGAGAGCTGCCCATCTATGTTTGGGATAGCCACAAGACTCGAACAATTATATATCAGAAGCTCGGAGAGCTTGTGGTGAGATGCAAATCCAGACATCGACCAAGTCCTCAACTTAGGACAACTCCTAATTTCCAACTTCTCAAGGCAAGGAAACACTAGTACTCCTTCTATTTCAGCCCATTCCTCTAGGCTTCCCATGTTGTCTATCCTGAGAGTTTTCAAAGCCGAGAACAGTGTGATTGTGTCGCCTCCACCATGACTACTACTTGCAATGTTGCTTCTGTTAAGATAAAACTTGCTGCCCATACGTTTCACCTTTTCCATACTCCATATTTTAAGATTTTGGAGATTAGGCAAAAATCCCAAACTAGGAATATCCATACATTCACCACAGCCATATAATCCCAATTTCAGTAGATTATTGAGTAAAAATGCATCACCAGATAAATTGACACCCTTCTCCATCCATGACGGAAACTTCTCTCCCATATAACCACTAATACTTAATTTTTTCAAATTTGAGGGAGGCTGAAGGCCTTCCAGAACCTCCTCATAACTGTTGTAGCCCTCTTCTTCGCTTCTTCCCCATTCCAATTTCACCTCATACAATCTTGTCTTCTGCTCCATGTTTGCTTTGGTGGCTTCTGATTTAGATTTGACAAATTCAAGGTTGCATATTCTCAATGCTCCAAGTTGACTCAAGCGTCCAAGTTCTTCAATATGATATCCCTTTTCTTTGCCCACAACAAATAATGATAAGGTTTGCAAGGAAGTCAAACGCCCAATATTTCTTGGCATGAGCTTGTCATTGCTAAAATAAAAATGTCTTAAACTGATCAGATTTTCCATTCCATCAGGAAGCTTTTGAAGATGAGAGCAGTACATCAATTTTAAGGTTTGCAAATTATACAGCTTGGAGAAGGATTTTGGCAATGCCCTGATTTTAGTGTTTGAGATGTCAAGGTATCTCAAATGCTTCAATTTGCTTGGAGAAGCTGGTAGTTTATCACCGTCTGCTTTCTTTAAACTTAAAGACCGTATGCTTTTAAGATCCATCCTTGACATGCTACAGAAATCAACCTCTGAGAACAATGAATGCAACTTTGGAGCTACACCTCTCAAAATAGTTGGATCCACTACTACACTAGATGGGACCTTCAGATGTCGAATGCAAGAATTTTCATGGATGGAATCATTCTTCAAAATCAATGTTTCACCTTCTGAAACTAACAGGGCAAGATCATGCACCACATCGTGCATCTTGAAGGATATGATGTCCCCATATTTATCCGTCTCTACATCATGGAACAAGCAGTTAGATATTAGATCACTAACATACTTGTTCCCAATATCTTCCATCATTTCCTGACTAGATGAGCAAAGAAATCCTTGAGCCATCCAATGCTGAATTAAATCATCTTTTTCAAAATTAAAATCTTTTGGGAAAACTGAACAAAAAGAGAAGCATTTCTTCATATGTGAAGGCAAATGATCAAAACTTAGCTTAAGTACAAATTTTATCTGATCACTATCTTTTAAATTCCAAACAATTTTATCTTTTATAGACAACCACCCATCTACTCCCTTTACATTACACATTGTTCCCCCCAAAATATTTGCAATTAATGGTAGGCCTCCACATTGTTTTGCAATATCCCTACCAATATCCTCTAACTGTTGATCAGGTATGGATGCCTCTGTAGATCCAAAAGCCTTCTCTTTTATTATCAACCAACAATCATCATCTGATAGCCTTTTTAAAGGATGCCTTTGCAAAGGAAGACACTCGGCTATGGATGATGCCACCCCTTCTTTACGAGTGGTTACAACAATGGAGTTCCCACTAGTTTTCACAAAATTTGACAGAAGACCACTGAAAGTAGCCCAAGTATTGGAATTATCCTCCCACACATCATCAAGGACAAGAAGAAAAGTTTTCTTTTCTAACTTTTCCTCTAGTCGTTTGAGCAATACATCAATATTATTTATTCCACCAGCATTCTGATCATGATATTCCAACATCCCTTTCAAAATTGCCCGTTCATCAAAATCATCAGACACACACACCCATGCTACTTCATCAAAAAGGTTTCTGTTTTTTATTTCTTTGCATAGCAATTTTGCTAAAGTTGTCTTTCCAACTCCTGCCATGCCAATCAAAGAAATGACAGAGATGGGATGCTGATGACTCCTTTGTTCAGTCAACAACTTAACAATTTCTGTGACATCCTCATCCCTTCTTGATTCAAATTTTGAATCTAGAAAGGAGTGAGTGCCAGGCTGGGATTTGCCAACCCGGGGGCTTTTGTTTCTAGCAAGAAGGGTAGTAAAAACTGCATCTTCTCTTACTTTAACAAGAGACTCATTAATCTTCTTAATTTTATTAGCGATGTTGAAACGGAATGCAATGGGATTTGAGGGAGAGAAGAAGTTGCGCACCCGTTTCACTTGGCTTTGAGTCTCTACTTTCTGTTGGAGTACCTCATATTCAACCTCATCCAGTACATCCACCATGTCATAAGCAACGTCTTTGAGCTCCTGTAGCCAATCCCGTATTGCCACCTCACTTTGTCGTTCCTCTGCATCTTGGAGCACATGTTGAATCAGGTTGAGTGAACTGCGAAGCTTTGACAACTCCTTCTCCAAACCCCATGCAAGGCGGATCTGTCCAGCAGTAAACGATGCCACCTTGAAAAGTGCCTCTTCTATGACAGGACCAAGAATACTTTCAGCCATCTTGCTTAAGCAGAGTGATAGAATTAGTAAGCAGAAAGCAATTGGAGAGAAATGAAGAGAGCTGCAGGGTAGCAACTAGCAACTACCTATAATGGGGTAGGAATGAACCAAAAAGTCAAAAAAGAAAGGTATTTAGTGAACGGTTCTTCACTATTTTTTAATATGACAAATTAACCCCTACTAACATAAGAAAAACTCTTTAGAAATTCAACCGTCACCCTTTATTCTCTCTCTCTCTTATGTAAGAAAATCCCTTAATATATAGCATAAAAATTCAACCGTCACCCTTTATTCTTTATATATAGCATAAAGAAAGACTTATGTAAGAAGACTACACTGCTAGTCCCTAGGCTAAAGAAGCTAATAAGATTATGACATCTAAGCATCTTAGAGAAAAGATGTCCCAACCTCTCCTGCTCACCGCTGGTTGTCCTCTGAATAGCCGTCAAAATCGCTTTAATTTCCTCCAATTTCCTCTCCATCAGCGTCTTTGTTGCTGCCTGTAATTTTCTTTTTTAATTTTTTTTATATACAACAAGTGATATCATCCCCATTTAAATCATGTACATTTGAGATTTTAAACATAAATTTTAATTTTTTTAACAATTAAAACAAACTCTAAGGAGCTTATTTATTTTCCTTTTCATTTGTACTATCAA